CCAATGCCCCAATAAAAATCTTTTTTAAAAAACCAAAAACCTGTAAATACAAGAGTTCATACTGTGATTGCATTTATGTAAAATTCTATAAAATGCCAGCTAATCTATAGTTACAGATCAGTGGTTGCTTGAAGCTGGAAGGAGCAATTATTAAGGGCAGAGGATTCTTTTGAGGGTGATAGATATGTTCATTATCTTGATTGTGGTGATGGTTTCACAAGTTTGTACATATGTCAAAACTTATCACATTGTACATTTTATGTAGGTGCAGTTTATTGTATGTATGCAAGTTATATCTCAAACTTGCTATAAAAAATTACAGACACTGTTTCTAAGAGAGTAGCAGGGCCTTTAGCACTTCTGCTCTTCTCTGTCTCCTGCTTGTTTGCCTGATTGGATGGGGAAGTGCTGGTGCCCAGGCACCCAAGGATCACCACATGTCATTCATTTGCCCATCCTCTTCTGCTTTGTAGTCAGCAAGGCCGAGGACAGCAGCGAAACCCCTGTAAGTGCTCCCTTTAGCACACCTTTTTCCATGGCCATATGTATCTCCTAGGAAGCACCTTCCTGCGAATGCATCTGCTGTTGCTTTCAGCTGGTTCACTGCAAATACCTTGCTGGTTTCCCTCCACTTGGAAAGCTGCCAGCAGCAACTTGAGCACATTGTATCAGTTTCCTATGGATGCTGTAACAATTACTACAAACTTTACAGGTTAAAAATGACAGAAATTTACCATCTCAAAGTTCTGGAGTCAGAAGTGTGAATGCAAGGTGTTGGCAGGGCCACGCTTCCTCTCAAGGCTCTAGGGGAGAATCCTCCCTTAGGCCTCCCAGCTTTTGCCGGCCCCTGATATTCCTTGGCTTGTGGTTACATCACTCCAGTCTCTGTCCACATCTTCACATGGCCTTCTCCTTCTGTCTCTCAAATTTCCCTCTGCCTTTCTCTTAAATAAGGATATCTGTCGTTGGGTGTAGGGCCCACTCCAAATCCATGATGATCTTCTCTTAAGGTCCTTAATTTATATCTGCAAAGATCCCTTTCCCAAATAAGGTCACACCCACAGGTCCTAGGGGTTCAGACTTGGAGATATCCTTGGGGGAGCACTAATTCACGACAGCCATCCATATCCTCAGATTTCTAGAGATAGGTTCGGGGTATAGTATGTGCTGTTATCACAGGACCTGGGGTATATGGGCAGGATCTAGAAATGTTGCAGCCTGTGAAGTCCTTTTTCTTGGTCCTCCCTGATATCCCAGTGAGCTCTCGAAAGGAAATGATCTGGCCTCTTTTGCCCCTTCTGTTGCTATAGTGATGACTCATAGCCTTGGGGGGCCATTCATGGTCCAATTGACTTGGTAGAAGGCTAGCGAATCTAAGGACTTAGCCACAGTCATTGGTCTTAGAAGGAACATTTATTGAATCCCTAATCTGTGCCAAGATTTCCACTTTAATCTCCACAAATATCCCACAAGGTAGGTAGTAGCTTTCCCATTTTATAGATGAGGAAACTGGTTAGAGAACTTTATAGTTTGCCCAGAATCACAGGGTCAGTAAATGGCAAGGCTAGGGTTTGCACGGAGGCCTCCTAGCTCTGGAGCCTCGTAACACTGTCATCACGTAGGGCTGGATCACAAGCCCAGGGAAGGTGAGTGATCCCAGGCCAACTCAAGATCGTACTGTTTCCCTCTGAGAATGGCCACTTAATAATAAATAACTTGTTTGTGGCACAAGAGTGGCACCCAGTGGCTTCAGCTAAAAACTACAAGATCAATGATAGGCCAAATTCTTATATTTCTGGACCAAGCAGTCGCTCAGTTTCCATTTCTAAACAGATAAAGTAGTATAACTGATCTCTTGAGTTATACAGAGTAAAACCACCTATGGCTATTATATAGTTTATGGAGAATGGAAGAAATGAGAGACTATGTCTTCAGAGTTTTATAGAATATATTCAGGGAATAGTCATGCCAGTAGTAGAGATTTTCAGCCTAGGTGTTGGAACAGTGGACAGTGGGCCATGACACAGTAGACAAGATAGTAGTCCAGGGATGAGTGTCACAGGCTGTGTAGGAACTGAAAACTTAAACCCAGAATAAGCAGGAGCAGGAACAGGGAGGCAGCTTTTCTAGTGTTTCCCGGTGGGCTAGGGTGAAGACCCGAATTAAATGTCTGGCTGTCTCATCCGGGGGACCTGATGATGAGGGATGGGCAGGGCTCCCGGAGGGCTCAGAGCTTTATATCTAAATGTGGGTATTTCCTTGGTGAGACCAATTTCAAGATAGGAGAAAGATTTGTCTATTACATGAGATTTTCCGGGCTAGAGTGAAGTAAAAGAATAAGCTTTCTCTCAAAGAAGAAAAAAATGTTTGGAAATATTCCTATCTTTATCTTGAGGGCTTCTTACATCTTTAGGGCTATCTTTATCCCTTCTGTGCTTCTTGGAATGTAATTACTTAGAAATTGAAACTTATTTTAGTAAACAATGTATGATAGAATATCTATTTTTTATTGGGTTATAACTCATGTACCACAAAATTTACCACTTTAAATTGTACAACTCAGTGGTCTTAAGTATATTTACTGTGTTGTGCAACCATCACTACTAAAACTCCAGAATATCTCTATCATGCCAAAAGGAAAACCTCTACCTAATTTGTGGTCAGTCACAGTGCCCCTCCTTCCACCCCCTGGCAACCACTAATCTACTTTCCATCTCTCTGGATTTGCCTATACTGGGTATTTCATATAAATGGAATCATACAATGAGTGGCCTTTTGTGTCTGGCTTCTTTCACACAGCATAATATTTTCAAGGTTCATCCATGTTGTAACATGTAACAGTACTTCATTCCTTTTTATAGTTGGATAATATTCCATTGTATGGATAAACAGTAGTCCTCCCCCCTTATCCACGGGGATCCATTCTAAGGCCCCCAGTGGACCCTGAAACCATAGATACTACCGAACCCTATATATATAGTATGTTTTTCCCTATACACGCCTACCTCTTCACTTAAGTAAAATAAGGATCACTTGGACAGAAGCACTGTGACACTACAACAGTCAATCTGGTAACTGAGATGGCTATTAAGTGACTAATGGGCATGGGCACACCAGACAAAGGGGTCACATCCCACGTGGTATGGAGCAGAACAGCGTGAGATTTCATCATGCCACTCTGAATGGAGCACAATTTAAAACTTATGAATTGCTTATTTCTGGAATTTTCCATTTAATTTTTTGGACCTCAGTTGACTTCAGGTAACTGAAACCATGGAAAGCAAAACCCTGGATAAGCAGGGGAACTACTGTACCACATTGGTTTTCTCCATCAGTTAATGGATATTTGTGTTATTTCGCTTTTTTGACTATTATGAATAATACTACTATGAACATTTTTGTGTGGACAGGTTTGTAATTCTCTTGGATATTTATCTAGAATTGCTGGGTGATAGGATACTTTAAGTTTTTGAGGAACTTCCAAACTGGCGGTACCATTTTACTTTTCCACCAGTACTGTATAAAGGTTTCCATTTTTCCATATCTTCACCCACAGTTGTTATTCTCTATTATTATATTATCATTATTATTACCATCATAATGGCGTAATAGTAGTTTTGATTTGCAATTCCCTAATGGTTAGTGATATTGAGCATCTTTTCATGTGCATATTGGCTATTTGTATCTCTTCTTTGGAGAAATGTCTATTCAAATCCTTTGTCAAACCAATTTTTAATTGGGTTATTTTTCGTTGACTTATGAGTTCTTTATTCTGGATACAAGTCCCTTATCAGATATGATTTGCAAATATTTTTCCCATTCTTGTGTGTTGACTTTACACTTTATAGTGTCCATTGAAGCACAAAAAATTTTAATTTTTATGAAGGTGTCAATTTTTGGACACTTGTGTTGTTGAAAATCAAGGAGCTAGGAGGACTAGGTTCTGAGCTTAGTAAGTACCTTTGTTTCTCTGTCTAAATTGAACTGAGTGTGGCAGGGCTTTGAAAGGCTACCAAGACTACAAAAGGTGCCCTGTAGCGTCCTAGTTTTTACCCAGTCAGTCATTTGTTGAGCATTTACCATATGCAAGGTACTATGCTAGCTGTAAAGAGATGTGGGCATGATGAACCTTACCTTTCAAGGAATTCAAGACAGAAAATGGACATCCACACATACAAATGATGAACAGGGGCGTGCAGTGCATACTTCAGAGCTGGGAGAATGGGGCAGACTGTAGGTGAGTGACTGGAGTTCAGAGGAGAAAGTAAATGCTAGAGTGAGCTGCAAAGGCCCCAGCAGAAGGAAGCCTTGAAGGTTGGGGGCTAGGTCGGGGAATTCATAAGAGCCAGGAAGTAAAAGGGAGTCGCCTGTGAGAGTAGACAGCCCTGTGAGGTAAACAAAGCCACCAGGCACACTTACAAGGTTTGACAATTAAGTTCGCGAACTCATCCTAGAAAAAGTGCTACAGTCACGTCCCAAATACGTCCCTTGGGAAGCTATGCACCGACGCTAGCACCTAGTCCACCTTTCAAAGCAATTTGGGAACTTTTTCTGGAATGGCCATCAGAGGTGTCATTGTATTTATTACCCTTGATGTCCTGAATGGCATCAAAATGTCTTCAATATTTTATCTTTAGGTAAAGAAATTATTGGGAGCCAAGCAGGTGAGTAGGGAGGGTGTTCCAATACCGTTATTTGTTTACTGGCTAAAAACTCCCTCACAGTGCTGTGTGAGCTGGTGCATTGTCGTGATGCTAGAGCCATGAATTGTTGGTGAAAAGTTCAGGTTGTCTAACTTTTTCACGCAGCCTTTTCAGCACTTCCAAACAGTAAACTTGGTTAACTGTCTGTCCAGTTGGTACAAATTCGTAATAAATAACCCCTCTGATGTCAAAAAGATTAGCAACATTGTTGCAACAAGTTCATGAACTTAATTGTCAGACAGACCTCCTATCTTATGGGGGCTCACTCAAAACTAACAGGGCTTACAATTTTTTAAGGAGCTGCTTCCAGAGAAAAATGATGCAGAGAGCACAGAGGATGCACATGAGAACAGCAGCCTGGAGCTCCTTGAAGGTAAGATTTTAGCTTTTCAGGTGAGCTCTGGATCAAAGTGGAAAGTAAAAAACATGACTTCAAGCCTTTCAAACTGCACCTTCCACCATAGCAGTGTCCTTCTGAGATTCGGTTGGCTCCTACCGCCACTATGGGTGTTCTGGGGTAGCAGGAGGCATTCCATCCCAAAAGCTGGTATGATAGGACTAGAAATTTCTCATCTAGTTTGTGCAGTGACAGATAGATGCACTTGATGAGGTCGGGCACTGAATCCAGTTGGTTACCTTCACATCTTTTCTTATTAAGTGTCAAAACTGCAGCTCTCCCTGGTTTTGGTTACTACTCTGTTTGGGGCTCTGGAGGCTGCTCCTGGGTGTAGACACCACCTCAACCTTGACGTATTACGTGGAGCTCTCAGTGTGTGTGTGATGGTGATAATACTTGTGTTTTTTCCCCTACCTCCAATACTTAAAACAGCATTCAGGGCCAGCAGTGGCAGGGGTGTGTGTGTGTGTGTGTGAATGTGTGTGAATAACCATAGCCTCTGGTGCCTGAACCTGTACGGTGCAGGTACCAGGCACTATTCTGAACTTTTAAAATGTATTAATGCTCTACATTCTCAAAATAATCCTATGAGGTATAGGTACTATTATTTTCATTTTTCAGATGAGGAAACTGAGGCCCAGAGATGTCAATAAACTTACCGGAGGTCACACAGCTAGTAAATGGCAGAGTCAGAATTCAAACCCAGGCAACCAGGCTCCAGTCTGTCTCTAAGAGCCAGACTAGGGGGAATGCTCTCTCAGACAACAGTGCTTGAAGTCGGCACAAGTCAATCAGTTAATAGTAGGAACGCTGTCTATAGGCACTGCCCAATGCAGTGTGAGCAACAATGGGAGAGAGGTGAAGCCAGCTTTCCGGCAGGGGAATCGGAGCTGGGCAGGGAGGGAGGAGCTGGATAGTGCAGACTTTGTGAAGAGTCTGTGTGCAGACAGCAACCGAATGGGCGCGTGCCCCAAGTGAGGGACTGGTAACAATCCCAGATGCCCCTTCCCAGGCCAGGCTCAGTGGGGACAGAAGACCCTAAAACCATTCTGCAGCCTCAGCCTAAACCTGGGGGCCCGGAGTGCCCGGGTTTTGATCTGGACAGGACCTGAAAGGGCTCTAAGGTGGGAAAGCTGAGAGAGCCGGGCCCCAGCTCCTCCCCTTCACCCAGGTTTTCCCCAAGGATCTTTCTAGCACAGGGCTGTGGAAGTAAGGTGAGTGGGCTTGTTTTCTCTTAGGGGCCAGCGGGCAAGTAGAAAACAAGAGACTCAAGAAAGGCAGTCTCCGCCAAGTCGTGGAGGAGACGCAGGCTTTCCACTCTGCCAGGGCCCCGAGCGCGTCAGAGGCTGCCCTGCGGAGCGCAGAGCCCCTGGAGGCCGCCTTGACCCCTAGCGGAAGCAGGGCGGGCCTCGGGAGGAGCCAGGAGGTAACCCGGCGAGGGCAGCGCAGGGGAGGGGGGGACTCGTCAGCAGCCGAGGGGTCTTCACCCCCGGCCTCCTTTCCTCCCACAGGACGCGCTGTGGCTGCAGGAGGTCTCCAACCTGTCGGAGTGGCTGAGTCCCGACCCCTGAACCGAGCCCTCTCCCCTCGGGTCCACGCGGGCCGGACGGCTGCGGGGGCCACGTGTTGTCTGTTGTTCAATAAACCTTCTCCGCGCACCAGGGTCTGTTTCAATGTCGCGGGCGGAGTCGAGGGCGGGGCCGAGAGCCCGCGCCTCCAGATGACGTTCCTCGAGTTTTCCGCAGGCGCTAGCCGAGCGGCGGCGGGATCGCGTCACTGTTACGCGCCGCGGGTCCGGGCGCGATGGCGGCGCTGGGCGGGGATGGGCTGCGCCTGCTGTCGGTGTCACGGCCGGAACGGCAGCCCGAGTCGGCGGCTCTGGGAGGCCCGGGCCCCGGGCTGTGCTGCTGGGTGTCCGTGTTCTCCTGTCTCAGCCTCGCCTGCTCCTACGTGGGCAGCCTCTATGTCTGGAAGAGCGAGCTGCCCAGGTGCGGGGGCTGCGCGCGCGGCCGAAACCCGCGCCTCCGCGAGGCGGGGCTGCGGGCGGAGCTTGGGCGAGCCGCGGGCGGGGCCGCTCTGTCAGGAGGCGGCTGTGGGCCCCCTGAACTTTCGGCCTCCTCCATAGGGACCACCCTGCCGTCATCAAGCGGCGCTTCACCAGTGTCCTGGTGGTGTCCAGTCTCTCGCCGCTCTGCGTGCTACTCTGGAGGGAACTGACAGGCATCCAGGTGCGAAGGAGGCGGGGCAGAGGGCAACAGGGGAGAGGTCTCGGGTCTTTGGGGGAGGAAGCAAGACTGATGCCCCCTTTCCTGTGGCTCAGCCAGGCACATCCCTGCTCACGCTGATGGGCTTCAGGCTGGAGGGCATTTTCCCAGCAGCCCTGCTGCCCCTGCTGCTGACCATGGTGAGTCCTGCTTTATCTTTCCTCCTGTTTTTTGTTATTAGCATGACGTTCATTTCTGTGACCTTTTCTTTCTTAGTCTGATTGTGTTCAGTTTTTGACTGATGGGTGACAGGAATTGTCAGATGGCTGGAGGCCCTTGGCAAATCCCGGCAGAGAGCAGGAAACTCGAAGTCTCATGCAGCCTTGTCTGGGCAAGGGCAGTGGATTATGGTTTAAGCCTTTCCTTTCATTGCTCATTTTTCTGCCTTCAGATCCTTTTTCTGGGCCCACTGATGCAGCTCTCTATGGATTGCCCCTGTGACCTGGCAGACGGGTTGAAGGTTGTCTTAGGTGAGCCTTCAGGGCTGAGGGAAAAAGGCAGTCACCGGTCTGTCTCATGGTGGGACCTGAACATGAGATGTGAGATGTCTCCTTGTTAGTAAAATGGGAACATGTAGTAAGTGGCCTCTAAGAGTTGGCTCCTGATATCCAAGGAGTCTCCTAGGGACCCCAGCAGTACTTGGTTTGGACTAGAGAGCATTGTCCCCTGCTTTCCCTAACCTTTGGCTTCTCCAAGCCAGAGCTGGTCTTGGGCAGATTTTGATGTTTCCAGAGTTCATGTCGAGGATATCCTGCCTCAGCTACTAATGCCTTTTTGTTCAGTCCTCTTGAGACATTGTCTTATGCTGGGTCTGATAAACGAAGCTCGACCCTTAACTATTCTCAGGAATATTGATGCCTAATCTGAGTTTGACCAGGAAAGGTTTGTGGGAGAGGGGCCTTTGGGGCCCCGAGGGTTTCTCCGTTCAATAGCTGGTCACTCATTGCTTGTCCTGAATCGCCTCCCTAGCCCCTCGTTCCTGGGCTCGCTGCCTCACGGACATGCGCTGGCTGCGGAACCAAGTGATCGCGCCGCTGACAGAGGAGCTGGTGTTCCGGGCCTGCATGCTGCCCATGTTAGCACCGTGTACGGGCCTGGGCCCTGCCGTGTTCACCTGCCCACTCTTCTTTGGAGTTGGTGAGTCTGCCCAACCTGGTCCTGTTAAGATGTTCCCAGCGTGAGCGCCGAGAATGGGGCTTGGGGCCAGGGGAGGGCCTGTAGGGCAGGGTGAGAGGAATGTGACGTGGTTCTCGCCTCTCCCAGCGCATTTTCACCACATTTTTGAGCAGCTTCGTTTCCGCCAGAGCAGTGTGGGGAGCATCATCTTGTCTGCAGGTGAGTCCTAGAGAGCGCGCCTGGGGCCATCCTGGGTTGGGATGGGGTGTCCCTGATAGTCACTCTGGAGGGAGAATTGAGAACAGAGGACTACAGTATTGGAGCAGCTGCTACCATGGGAGTTGGGGTGTAGAGAACAGCCATAGGTGCTGGCACAGGCAGCCACTGCCCTCACGGGGAAGGGAGGGGATGTCTCTGGCTGATGGGGGTACAGTGCTGTGACAGGAAGGGCATGCAGGTGTGGTCACTCGCGGCCTCCCCGTCTCCAGCGTTCCAGTTCTCCTACACAGCTGTCTTCGGTGCCTACACTGCTTTCCTCTTCATCCGCACAGGTTGGTCCTCAGTCTCTCACGGGTCCTTGGGGGCTTGGGCCCACAGGAGTGGGTGGGAGAACGGGAAGACTGTTCTAGGAGCGACAAGTTGTTTTAACCTCAGTTCTTGGGCCCTCGGCCTGGTGAGGTCTGAGAGGTGGAAGGAAGCAGAAGCCTTGGTATGTGGGTGGATGAGCTGGGCGCTGATCTCCTGTTTCAGGGGATGAGGGGCATCAGCCCTGGAAAGCGGTGGGGCTGCTCCATGAGCTGTTCGTCTCCCCTCCCCAGGACACCTGATTGGGCCAGTCCTCTGCCACTCCTTCTGCAACTACATGGGCTTCCCTGCTGTGTGCGCAGCCCTGGAGCACCCACAGAGGCGGCCCCTGCTGGCAGGCTATGCCCTGGGTGTAGGACTCTTCCTGCTTCTGCTCAAGCCCCTCACGGACCCCAAGCTCTACGGCAGTCTTCCCCTTTGTGTGCTTTTGGAGCGGGCCGGGGACTCAGAGGTGCCCCTGTGCTCCTGACCCAAGCTCCTATACACACTCGTGTGAACTCTCATGGGATCTCCCCAGCCCCTCCCCATCGAGGGGGACTGCAGGGGAGGAGCTGGCTGGGGTCCCCGAGATCTCAGGAATTTTATAGGGGATTGAAGCCAGAGCTAGTTGAATCCCAGGGACCAAGAGAAAGGAGCAGAAATCCAAAGGGCGCGGCCCCTATCGAAAGAGTTGAAGAGCAGCTGGGAGTGAGGGGACCAGGAACAGGTTCCAGGAGCCGAGCACCCCCCTCCTCACTTTGGACTGCTGCTTCTCTGAGCTCCTCTGCCCTGAAAAGCTGCTGGGGGCGGAATTTACAGAACGTCTCCCCCCACCTTCCCAGGGTTTTCTCGTCTTTTTGCATCAGGACTTTGTATTGGGATATTAAAGAGATTTAACTTGGGTAACACGGTCTTGGACCTTTGGGAATTTAGTCTATTTGGGTTCTTGGGAGTGTGCCCACCACCTGTCCAGCTGCCTTGACCACTAATCTCTGGGCTGGTCAGCCTGGTAGGGAGTTCCTGCGAGTAGGGGACAAGATTGGAGTGGGGGCGGGGGTTTGGCTGTCTTGAGTTTTGCAGCTTCCTCCTTCCTGAGTCAGACCCCAAGTCCTAGCACAGGTGGGCCTGGGACTGCAAGTACCAGGTGTGGGCCCAGCTCATCCTGGGGCCTGTGCCTTGGCTACCAGTGTCAGGAAGTGGGTGGGACCCAGGGCTCTGTCCCCAGCAGTGGAGCCTCCAACCTATGTCTTCAGAGAGGGTGGAGGCTCCACTGTGTGGCCTCCACCAGGATCACCCCAAAGCCCACCAGCCTCATATTACACAAGAGGAAAGAGATCCAAAATGGAAGACGAACCAGCTGGGAGTAGAGGCTTTTCTGGCTCTCTCCTCCTCGGACCTCTGCCCCCACGCGACTTGTCTGGTCCCTGGAGGAACCTGGAACAAAGGCTGCAGCCCTGAACGCAGTAGTGGCCCTGCTGAGCAACACTGTAACTCAGATTCTTTCTTAGAGCCTTCTAACGTCCTACCGGCTCTTCCTCTGGTTTTCAGGTCCCATTCCAGACTCAGGGAGGGTGTTCCGCATCCTCTTCCCTGAGGCTGGTGGTTGAAGGAAAGGTGACAGATGTGCAGTCACTCCTGTGGCACCCCAAGGTTGGCTGGGACTAAGCTATTCACCTGGATCTAAAAGGGCATCATGACAGTCACACACCTACCTTGCTGGGAAGTTCTGTGCAGCAACTGGCAGAGGCAGAGGGGGTGAGCATGGCCTGTTTGGATCTTGGCGTCCAAAGAGGCGGCTTGCAGGCTGCTGGGATGGTCCCCTGGGGTCCGTATCTCAGCTCTGCCCTTCCCCATCCTCACGCTTCTGCTCAGGAACTGACCCGGCCCCACCTTTCACCGCACTGACCATCCTCACCTCCCCCGTGTGGGGGCAGCAGTGCAGTGATGCAGGCAGGGCTGCTGTCCCACTCCAAAAGTGAGGTAACTGGTGCTCAGGAATAGTATTTTCCCGAGAGCTGCTTGAGGGGGATGGTCAGGATTAGGGCCTGGGACTCACCACCCAGTGTTCCTAAATCTCCCACTAGAATTCTCACATCCAGAGGTTCCCACTCCAAGGGTCTTGCCCACCTCCCTGAAGGTGGTGCCTGTTTGCGCCCAGTCCTGACCAATGGGGTGGGAGTTTGGCCCTGGGTTTAAAAGGTAAAGAAAGCAGTGTGGTTGGAAAGCAAGTCCCCTGAAAGCCGAGATTTGAACCCTTTCTGCCTCTTACTAGCTATGATGGGTCCTGGACAAGTTATTTAACCTTCCTGTGACTCCATTACTGTGTCCATAAAATGGGCGTAGGCTGGTTCCCTGAGTTAATAGGCGTTAAGTGCTTAGAACAGCCCCTGTGGCCCCCAGACTCTGTAACTAGCTAATCCTGTTGGGGTATGTATACAGCAGGCACTCAGGAGTGGCTTAAACAAAGGCCACTACTGTCATCCTTACTACCCTCCAAGGAAGAAAATACAGCGGGCCTGGGGAGTCCAAGAGGCAGCCCTGCCCCTTTGCTGAGTGGCGCGGGGGTGGGCTGCAAAGGACTCAGCATGGAAGGCAGGGGAAAGCCAGTTTTATTGAGCAAAGTTCTCAGGACCTGGGGCTTAGGTCTCCCCCGAGGGGGTAGGACCCCTAAATCTGCTCCCCTCGCTCCTCGGCCCACCTGTGCCATCACCTGTAGTCTCCAGCAAGATAGGACCCTTATTTGGCAAGAGGTGAATATGTGGGTGTCCACCAGCAGAGAAAGGACAGATGGCTGGAGAAGGAATGGGCCACCATGGGCAGTGTCCTGCCACAAGCAGCTGAGGACAGGAGCTCCAGGGCCAGGTCTTCCTGCCCTCGGGCACCGGCTGGCCCGGGCCTGCCCCGGCAGCGCAGCGTCTGTGAAAGGCTTGGGGTGGGGATGGCCGGGCTGCAAGTCTGGGCAAGATCACTCAATCTCCAGGATGAGGTCGTCGCCCTCCAGTGTCATGTCTGTGGTTACATGGACCTTGCGGACAGTGCCTTCAATGGGTGATGTCACCACAGTCTCCATCTTCATGGCGCTGAGCACACACAGGGGTTGGCCTTTGGCCACCTTGTCCCCTGCCGCCACCTTGATGTCTATCACCTTCCCAGGCATGGGTGCCCCGATCTGGCCTTTCACGTCCTTCAGGGCCTTGGGGTGGAAGTGCATCTCCTGCAGACAGGTCAGAGGGGACATGAGACAGCAGGCCTCGCCTGTCCCTACCACCTGACGGCGCAGGGGGAACCATACCTTCATGGCCTGCGTGTCCTTGACCAGAATGGAACGCAGCTGTCCATTGAGCTCGAAGAAGACCTGCCTTTGGCCAGCCCGGTTCAGGTCACTTACGGCCAGGGCTTTGATGTGCAGTGTCTTGCCCCGCTCCAGCTCCACCTGTAGGCAGGATGTGGATGCTCACAGCTGAGACGGTGGGAGGAGAGCAACCCCACCCAGGCCCAGGCAAGTCCCCCTACCCTGGGCCTCAGCTCTGTGGTCTCCCAAGGGTACCTTGTGCACCCAAAGCTCTGAAAGGCGAGTGATGGCCAAGTCAAAGTCTAGCGCTCTAGATGTGCGGGGATCAGGGATGTGGGGGCAGGGCCCTGGCGTGGAATGTGCACAGGTGCCAGAGCCACTGACCTCAAACTCCTCTGCAATTTTGGGTCCCTGGAGGAAAAGGCGGGTATTGAGGCTATCCAGGGGGCCAAAAGTGGCAGTGAAGTCCTTGAAGTAGGCAAAGACATCGGGGTAGATGGCCGCTGAGAGCACGTCCTCTGGGGTCAGCTCCTCCCCGTGCCGCTCTGTCAGCTCCTTCTCTAGTGCCTTGAGATCCAGGGGTGGGAGGGAGGCTCCGGGCCGCCCCTCCACCCTCGGCAGGTCCTTGAGCACCTGGGGAGCACAGCAGAGCGTCAGGCCCAGTTCCTGCGTCCAAGCCCACCTGACGCTGGGCTGGGTCTTCCCTACCTTGGAGCGAAGGGGCTCTGGGAAGCCCCCGTGTGGAATGCCGATGTAGCCCTGCAGGAACTCCACCACGGAGCGGGGGAAGGACAGCTCTTCTGCCTGGGCCTCGGCCTCTGCCCTGCTCAGCCCGTTCTGCACCATGAACTGGGCCAGGTCACCCACGATCTTGGAGGAGGGCGTCACCTGAGGAGAAGAACCCCTGCGTCAGGGTGCCAGGCACCTTATAAAGACCCAGAAGCGGGGAAAAGGGACACGGCCTGACTTACCTTGATGAGATCCCCTAGCATCTGGTTGGCTTCCACGTAGGCCTTCTTGACCTCCTTGAACTTGGAGCCAAGCCCCATGCTGTGTGCCTGGAAGTGCAGGTTGGTGTACTGGCCCCCTGGGATCTCATTCTCATACACGTCCGAGTTGCCAGACTTCATAGTGGCAGTGCAGTCAAAGGCCGCATACAGTCCCCGGGTCCCCTCCCAGTACTCACTGTAGTCAAACACACGCTCCAGGGGTACCCCTGCAGGGAGGCCAGAGGCAGGGGAGGGCTTGGAAATGTGCCGAGTTCCCAGCTGTCCCCCACCCCAGGACCCCAGGGCCAGCTCAGGTCCCATCTCAGACTTGGGTGATGGAAGGAGTGGCCAGGCAAGAGTATCTAAATTCTAGGATTTGCCCGACTCAACTGGGACCAGTGGGGACATGGCTTTGAAAGAGGGACGCCATGAACTGCTGCTTTCCTACCTGTGTCCAGGGGGGTGCCTCGGGTACAGGCCACCAAGGCCCCCATGCTGGGCTGTGAAGTCATCCCGGACATAGAATCGGCTGCCACGTCCACCACATCGGCCCCAGCCTGGGCACAGGCCAGCATGGCTGCCACGCCTGCCCCGGACGTGTCATGGGTGTGGATGTGCAGCGGGAGGTCAGGGAAGCGGTCCCGGAGAGAGCTGACCAGCATGGTGCAGGCCGCTGGCTTCAGCAGCCCTGCCATGTCCTGTGCGAAGAGAGAAAGAGATGGTAAAAAGGGGGACGATGTGCACCTGGTGGGGGACCTGAGGGGGAAACGTGGCTGGGAGGCAGGGAGGTGGGCTGGGCCCAGGCACCTTGATGCACAGGATGTGGGTGCCAGCTCGCACCAGCTCTTCAGCCAAGCCCATGTAATACTGTAGCGAGTATTTGGTGCGGCTGGGGTCGGCGACGTCACCCGTGTAGGAGATGGCGGCCTCCACCACGCCGCCAGCATTGCCTGCTGCCTCCATGCCCAGCAGTAGATTGGGCAGGTAGTTAAGGGAGTCAAAGACCCGGAAGACATCCATGCCATTCTCCTTGGCCACCTCACAGAACCTGAGTGGGTAGGAGAGCCCCAGGGTTAGCCCCATCCCATTCCCCCACCACCTCCTTCTCTGGCTCCTGGCCTAGCTATGGCCCCTGAGCGATGAGTTCTGGCCTGGCAGGGGGCGTGGGACCCAGAGTCAGTGTGGGGGGCGGGGCACCACAGTGTGGACAAGGCCTCCAGAGCAGCTTGGGCTGGGCAGGATCGCCCCAGAGGCATCTGGGCACAGAGCAGAGCTGGCCCATGCTGGTTGGGCCCAGGTCAGAAAGATTAGCCAGTCTTTGCAAAGGAGGGAGAAAGAGCACTGAACAAGGAGTCCTGAGGTCAGGTTCCAGCCCCAGCCCTACACCACATGGCCTGAGACAAGTCAACTGCCTTCCTGGGGCCTCCACTGGCCCATGAGCTAGAAGCCCTTCCAGTTCTCCAACTATATATAATTCTGCACTTGATGACATTTCCAAATAGCAGCCTTTACTGGGGGCAGCTACCGGGAGGCTGTTTTGAGCCTGCTGTGGGGAGCATGGGCCATTGCAGTGAGGCTGGGCACCTGCTGTGTGGTGTCTGCCCCGCTCCCACCCCAGGCTCACT